AAAAAAAAAAAAGCTAAAAGTAGAGCTGTGGCTAAAGTGGTAGAACTCTAGTCTTTTTTTTTTTTTTTGGGGGGGGGGTCCAGTCGTGGGGCCTGAACTCTGGGTGCTGTCCCTCAGCTCAAGGCTAGTGTTCTACCACTTGAGCCACAGCACCACTTCCAGCTTTTTTCTTTTTGCTTATGTGGTGCTGAGGAATCGAACCCAGGGCCTCATGCATGCTAGGTAAGCGCTCTACTACTGAGCTACCTTCGCAGGCTAGAACTCTAGTCTTCAGGTTCAACAGAACTCAAGGACAGTGCTCAGGCCCTGAGTTCAAACCCCAGGACCAACACACAAACAAATAAAGAAGCCAGGCAGTGGTGGCTCACGCCTATAATCCTAGCTACTCAGGAGGCTGAGATCTGAGGATCACAGTTAAAAGCCAGCCCGGGCAGGAAAATCTATGAGACTCTTATCTCCAGTGGCGCTGTGGCTTAAGGGGTAGAGCACTTGCCTTGAGCAGAAGAGCTGAGGGACAGCACCCAAGCCCCCAGAGTTCAAGCCCCAAGGTGGCGTATGTGGGGGGGGGTGGAGACAAAGAGAGGTCATATTTAGATCGAGACAGAGAGAGGTCATATTTAGATCAGTTGCCATTTAGTGGTAGTGATATCTGACTTACAAATAGTATCTTTTAGTGCTGGGAAGGTGGCTCAGTGGTAGAGTGCTTGCCTTGCATGCACGAGGCCCTGGGTTCGATTCCTCAGCACCACACAAGCAAAAAGAAAAAAGCCAGAAGCGGCGCTGTGGCTCAAGTGGTAGAGCACTAGCCTTGAGCTGAAGAGCTGAGGGACAGCACCCAGGCCCAGAGTTCAGGCCCCACGACCGGACCCCCAAATAGTATCTTTTAGCTGGGCACCCACAGTTCACACCTATAATCTTACTACTACTCAGGAGGCTAAGATCTGAGGATCATAGTTCAAAGCCAACCTGGGCAGGAAAGTCCATGAGACTTTTTTCTTTTTTTTTGGTCAGTCATCGGGCTTGAACTGTAGGCCTGGGCGCTGTCCCTCAGCTCTTCAGCTCAAGGTGAGCACTCTACCACTTGAGCCACAGCGCCGCTACTGGTTTTCAGGTGGTTAAATGTAAATAAGTGTCTCACAGATTTTCCTGCCTGGGCTGGCTTTCATTGTGATCCTCAGGTCTCAGCCTCCTGAGTTTCTAGGATTACAGGTGTGAGCCATTGGCACCTGCCTAGGAGACTTTTATCCCCAATTAATCACAGAAAAAGCCAGAAGTGGTGCTGTGGCTCAAAGTGGTAGAGCACTAGACTTAAACAAAAGGAGTGCAGAGACAGTGCCCAGACCCAGAGTTTAAGCCCGAGGACTGGGGAGGGAGGAGATCATTTTCTTTCAGGCCCAAGACTGGGACTCAAAGTGAGTACCTGCTGCCATATTTATTCATTGGCTAACAGTCTACCAACTGATCCACACATACCAGTTTTAAAAAGCATTATCGGGGGCTGGGACGGTGGCTCAGTGGTAAATCGCTTGCCTTCCATGCATGAGGCCCTGCGTTCGATTCCCCAGCACCACATAAGAAAATAAAGCTAGAAGTGGCGCTATAGCTCAAGTGGTAGAGTGCTAGCCTTGAGCTGAAGAGCTGAGGGACAGCGCCCAGGCCCAGAGTTCAGGCCCCACAACCGGACCCAAAAAATAAGTAAATAAAAATAATAAATAAATAAATAAAAAGCATTATCGCCAGGCACTGGTGGCTCACGTCTGCAATTCTAGCTACTGAGGAGGCTGAGATCTGAGGATCATGGTTCAAAGCCAGCCTGGGCAGGAAAGTCCATGTGACTCTTATCTCCAATTAATCACCAGAAAACTGGAAGTGGCACTGTGGCTCCAGTGGTAGAGTGCTCGCCTTGAGCTGAAGAGCTAAGGGACAGCACCCAGACCCAGAGTTCAAGATCTACCACCACCAACAACAAAAAGCACTAAGTATCTATATGAAGGCAACTCTTAATCTCTTTTGCTTCTCTTAAATGCTGAACTACAAGTTTGTGCCACAAAACTCATCTGCAATCTCATTCTTTAACCATGAAAAAGACTTTTTTTTTCCCTTTGTATTACTAGGATTTGATCTCAGGGCCTTGTGCTTTCTAGACAGGAACTCTACCCGACCTGAGCCAACCCTTTTTGATTTAGTTGCTTTTCAAGTAGGGTCTCACATTTCTTCCCGTGGACAGCTTATTTTATGCCACCCTCACAGGTGAGGATTACAAATGAACACCACCACACCCTGCTTGGCCTCAAATCATTCTTCTGATCTCTACCTCCCAAGCAGCTAAGATTACAAGCATAAACCATTGTGCCCAGCTGGGAAGCCTATTTCTTATTATACAGAGATATAATTAAACTTTGAAGTTAGAATGTAAATAGGCCCTTATGTCCTCACCCTGGTATAAAAGAGCATCTTAGAAATGTGTTCTTTTCTTGCTCTTTCCCAAGTTACTGGGTAACCGTTTTTTGTTGGTCGTGGGGCTTGAACTCTAGGCCTTGGAGCTGTCCCTAAGCTTTTGTGCTCAAAGCTAGCACTCTATCACTTTAGAACGTGGGCCACTTCCAGTTTTCTAGTAGTTAATTGGGAGATAAGAGTCTCATGGGTTTTCCTGTCTGGGCTGGCTTCAAATCTCAGCCTCCTAAGTAGCTAGAATTACAGATGTGAGCCACCAGTGCCCTCCAAGTAATGGGGTTGTTTTTTTGTTTTGTCTTTTTGTTCAGTGTGTGTGTATGTGTGTGTGTGCTGGTATTGGGGCTTAAACTGAGGGCCTAGGGCTCTGAGTGCTTTTTCACTCACTTGTGCCATTTGGCTTGTCTTTTCCCTGGTTAACTGAAGATAAGAATGGTGAAGATTTGTCTGCCCAGGCTGGCCTTGAACCTTGGATTGTCAGATCTCAGTCTTCTGAGTAACTAAGATTATAGGTATGAACTACTGGCAACTGGCTAAGTTACTCTGGATTTAACCTGAAGTACCTATCTGAAGGAAAATGTATTTTTAAGTAATAATGTTGGGGGCAGTGGGACTCTCCCAGTCATTCTCCCAGTACCCTATGTCAAGAGAAAAATCTAGACGATTTTACTAACAAATAAAAAACATTTTCCTTTAGTGGATTTACTTTCACTTCTATCAAATAAGAAAACAAGGGACTGGGAAGGTGGCTCAGTGGTAGAGTGCTTGCCTCGCATGCATGAGGCCCTGGATTCAATTCCTCAGCACCACATAAGCAGAAAAAGCCGGAAGTAGCATTGTGGCTCAAATGGTAGAGCGCTAGCCTTGAATTGAAGAGCTGTGGGACATGGCCCAGGCTGAGTTGAAACCCCATGACCAATAAAACAAAAAATAAAAAATAAATAAAATAAAACCTGGGCCAGGAATGTGGCTTAGTGGTAGAGTACTTGCCTAACCTGCATGAAACCCTGGGTTCGATTCCTCAGTACCACATAAACAGAAAAAGCTGAAAGTGGTGCTGTGGTAGCCCTGACCACTGAGGCGCTCAGGGACAGAGCCCAGGCCCTGAGTTCAAACCTGAGGACTAGCAAAAATAAATAAATAAATAAAACCACCTGGTGTAATGTGTAGCATTCTCCCCTCTGTCCTCCCCCACCCATTCTGGTGATTGAGTCAAGGGCCTCAAGAAAGCACTACAAGCTACCACTGAGCTATCTATACCCCTAGCCCTGCCTCATAGGCCCTGTGAATAAAATAACAAAGCACAAAGCACCCATTCCACCTCCCTAATAAAAACACAAGAACTTCCAGTAAGTGTGTTTTAATAACTATGAAGTATTTGAGCCAACACAGCACTCTATTATCAAAGAGTAATTACTTTTGTTTACATAATAACTTGGAGTAAGATAGTTGTCTTTATCAAAAACACGTTGGAAAATGGTGTTAAAGATCATCTCTTGGGCTGGGAAGGTGGCTCAGTGGTAGAGTGCTTGCCTTGCATGCATGAGGCCCTGGGTTCGATTCCTCAGCACCACATAAGCAGAAAAAGCCAGAAAAGATGCTATGGCTCGAGTGGTAAAGTACTAGCCTTGAGCTGAAGAGCTGAGGGACAGTGCAGTGCTCAGGCCCAGAGTTGAGGCCCCATGACTCTCCTGGTCTAGGGTGGATCAAATGGTACCATGAACATATGGTTACAGATCATCAAAAAATAGTTAAAATTGTTCAAGGTAGACTGCAGAATGTCCTTTTCAATAGATGGTGAAGACAGACAGAAGACAGTAGAAAAGAACCTTTATGGGACGAGGGAGAAGAACAGAGTGATGGTTCAAGGAAATCTGTAAGAATAGGAGAAAATTAGAGAGGGAAACAATTGCAGAATCCATGGAAACGACTTTTTTTTTTTTTTTTTTTTGCAGCTGTGTAAGTCCCCACTGGGCGGCCAGCTGCACAAACAACGGTGCAAGCACTGAGGGTGGGGCCAGGATCGCTCGGGTTCAGATTACAGAGCTGGCTAAATGCTCAAATGATTCCTGAAACCAGAGCGCAAGGGGTCTCCGTCTGCTCCTCTATCACAAACCCCCCTCTGTGCTTCACACCTAGATTTTCGTAGCAAAAGAGGAGGGTCAGTGTACGCATCCGGGAGCACTCACGTGGGAGCCCCTGCAGCCCCCACCCCACCCTACCCCGCCCCTCCGGCCTGGCCCTGCTCCGCGCCGCCCTCTAGTGGTCACCTCCGTGTCCTTGGGCTTCCCTTGGTCCAGCTCCCCGGCCCCAGGTCTTGCACCCACCCCCTACCTCACCTCCTTCCAGTCCCCTCCCCTTCCTCTCCACGGCATCCCCTTCCTCCGTCTCCCTCCCCCCGAGGGGTGGGGGGGTGTCGGCAGGTCGGGCCCCCACCAGTGTGGGGCCGGGCTGGGGAGCGGTCCTTGCCCCGGCCGGTCCCGTCCGCCCCTGGCCTCCCTCCCGCTCTCCCGCCCTCCCTCCCGACTCCATCTCTTCTTCCCCCTCACCTCCTCGTCCGGGACGCTGCCAGCTTCGCTGTCACCGAGCCCGCCAGTTTGGTCCTGTTTCTCTCTCTAGTTAAGACTCCCTGTCAGTGACGGCTGCTTTTTGTTTTTTTGGCTTTTTTTCATATATGTATATTTTGGGGGCCTCCCCCCCCCCCGCGTGGAGAAATGGAGGCATCAAAATGGCGGTCCCGGAAGTGGAGGCGCAGCCAATGCCTCGGCGGAAGAATCTGTGGAAGGGAACTGCCGAGAAGGCTCACGTTTCCCTGGGAAGGGGACTGACGAAGCACCCTCGAGGCTCATTTCTTATCTACTTGAGGCCGCCTAAGCCCCGGGGAAAGAGCGTGAGGGTCGCCTCTGGGTGGGACTATTTGCTGTGGCGGAGGGTTATTGATTACGCGCTCACGAGAATGTAGATCCGGCAGGGGACGGGCCGCGGTGGGGATTTTGGCGCCAAGAGCCTGGGAACCTCCACGGAAGATCCACCCGGGGTCTTTGGAGCTCCTCTCTCGGCCGGCTCTCCCCGGGGGAGCGGGGAGGGGAGGGCTGACTGAGGGGGGAACACCTTCTTTGTCCCAACCTTGGGTGGTAGTATTCGGGACATCCCTGGCTTTGCGAGTGAGGCAGGCTGTGCAGCCTGAGGGACACACTTGTACAGCCGCCATAGAAGCACCCTGCAGCAAGCTGTCAGACTCCCGAGACCTGCCTGTCCTTCTGGGCCCTGCAAGAGGATGGCCCATGGGTCCAAAGTTCTTTGTCACTTCACCTACTACAGAGTCGATCCTCATCTCCACAAGTCAGCAAAGGACCAGTCATTTACCTTTTCTGCTTCCAGAATGTACCTATCTATGTAGACATAGATTTGATTGTTCAGGGTGGACATTAGGAAACATTACAAGTCTCCCCTTCTAAGTTCTGTTCTCTCTTTTTTTTTTGGGGGGGGGGTCTGTCATGGGGTTTGAACTCAGGGCCTGATTTCTTTGCTCAAGGCTAGCACTGTACTACTTAGCCACAGTTCCACTTCTGGTTTTCTGGTGCACGCGGCTCCATGACAGTTTTTGTTTTGTTTTTGTTTTTTGTCAGTCATGGGTCTTGAACTGTAGGCCTGGGTACTGTTCCTCAGCTCTTCAGCTCAAGGTTAGTTAGTGCTCTTGAGCCACAGCACCACTTCTGCTTTTTCTGTTGATGTGGTGCTGAGGGAGGAATGGAACCCCAGGGCCTCATGCATTTGAGGCAAGCACTGTACCACTGAGCCACCTTCCCAGCCCCTCCATGAGACTTTTATCTCCAACTAGCCATCTCAAGGCCAGACATGGAACTGTGGCTTAAAATGGTAGCTGGCTACTCGAGTAAAAGCTCAAGGACAGTGCCCAGGCCCTGAGTTCAATCCCAACTGACAAAGAAAAAAGTATACTTTCCATATGGGTTATGTTCTCTCATTCCTGTGAATATTCTATTGTCTGGCTGTGCCTTTCATGTAGTAGGAAAACTACTTTTTTCATTTGCTTTTTTTTTTTGGCAGTCATGGGATTGAATTCTAGGCCTGGGTGCTGTCCTTCAGCTCTTCAGCTCAAGGTTAGAACTCTAGCACTTGAGCCACAGAATCTAACCCAGGGTTTCATGCATGCTAGGCAAGCACTCTACAACTGAGCCACCTTCCCAGCCCTGAAAACAGCTACTTGTAAGTTCCAAATAGTCTTTTGGAATGAGGTGAGAAATATGCACATAGCCAGGGCTCGGTGGTGCATGACTTTAATCCTAGCTACTCAGGAGGCTGAGATCTGAGGATTGCAGTGCAAAGCCAGCCCGGGCAGGAAACTCCGAGAAGCTCTTATTTCCAATAAATTTATTTTAAATAAATCCAGAAAACTAGAAGTGGCATGTGGCTCAAGTGGTAGAGCACTAGCCTTTAGCTGAAGAGCTGAGGGACAGTGCCCAGGCCCAGAGTTCAAGCCCCACAACTGACGAAAGAAAGAAAGGAAGGAAGGAAAGAGATCAAGAAAGAAAGAAATCAAGAAAGAAAGAAGCACATAACATTTAATCAAATTAATTTCTTAGGCACCTAAGAAAATTACTACTTGAGGGGCTGAGAATGTGGCTCAGTGGTAGAATGCTTGCCTTGCATGCATGAGCCCCTGGGTTCAATTCCTCAGCACCACATTAGCAGAAAAAGCTGAACGTGGCACTGTGGTTCACATGGTAGAGTGCTAGATTTGAGCTGAAGAGCTGAGGGACAGCGTTCAGGCCCCAAGGATGGACCAAAAAAAAAGAAAGAAAGAAAATTACTACTTGAAACCTGTTGGTACTATAAGCAAGCAGAACTTTCTACTTTGTTAATCTTAAATTGAACTCACTTTTTGTTACCTACCTGTTCAACTTGAAATGCACCATATAATGTATAAATGCTATTCAAATTGTTCTTCCTCAAAGCTGAATATTAGAAAGATAAATGTATATGCTATGTCTGTGTGTAGTCAGGAGCAATTTCTGGGTGTGTACTGTTTCCCTGTGGGAAGAGAGAGACAACAAGAATCCAGCCTTGGGATTTAATGTCTTTATTAAATAAATGAGTAAATGGCAGCACAAATCAGCAGCAATATTTTGGAAGGGATGGGGAAACAAGGTATAGGGCCTGAGACCCATTGATCAGTATTGTATATTGAAAATTCAGGGAGAAGTGGGGAGACATATTAAAGACCAAACCCTCTGTTACATGACTGAGTCAAAACTTTACAAATTGTTCTAATGGAAGGGTAACTTTTTAACAATTAAAATATTTTTCCTCAGCTCTAGATTTCAGCACAGAGATAAGGGCAAAGTTGTAAAGTAAGTAAGCTAAGTTCTCTCGAGAAAGTACTTCAGTATTTCTGAAATGTTTCAGTATTTTCCCCTAGTTTCATTTTCCATGATGTATTATTTCCTCCATTTTTATTAAACTCTCCTCAAATTTTTTTTGGAATAGAATGTATTGTATGAAGGAGCAGACTCAAAAAAGCAAGAGTCTTATTACCTTAATATTTTAGAAATCCTACTTGTTTTGTAGCAAATATCTGGAAACTTCCACATTTTTACCCTTGAGGAAATATTTATTGGCCTAGATCAGGAATTAGGAAGATGTGAGTAATCTTTGACGCTGACTAAAATGGAATGAAATAACCCTCCATTTTTCTCTACTACACTACTCTTTAGTCCCCACCTTCTCCATAAACTCTGTTTTTCTGGGATTAATAATCCTGGAGTTTGGAGTGTGAGGAATCCCTGTTTATCAACTACTCCATTGGTTGAACCCTATACATTGTGAAGGCCTTTGAGAGAATTTGAGTACACAGATCATTCAGTAAATAAATAAATAAATAAATAAATAAATAAATATAGAGACACAATTCAACTGGCAAATTCATCAGCACCACCAACACAATAGAGAAAAGAGAACAAGATTGAAATGGGAAAGGACTTCAAAGGGAAGACAATAAAGGTAAGATCATGGGAGAGGTCTTAGCCTTAGAGCAAGTCCAAATCAAAGGAGTGGATGCTGGCAATGGGAGCTCTCCAGAAGTTGAAGGTGCTGTATTCAAGGAGACTATCACCTTCAGGGTTTTTCTCCTGATCTGCTGCAGTTGCTTGTCCGGTTACTTTGCCACGGCCGCTGTCTTTGATCTTGTAGGTAGATGTATCGGAGAGACCCAGGTCCTCCAACTCTGACAGATCCAGTTCTGGGATGGGCATCCTCCAGAAAAGAAAGGAGCTGTATTGGCTGCTCACAGGATCCCTCATAGCTTCCTAGGAAGAAACCACTTGTTATTCTTATTGATAAAACTCCCTGGTCTTTCCATACTCAAATTCCACATCCCCAGCTGGGCACTGGTGGCTTACACCTGTGATCTTAGCTACTCAGAAGGCTGAGATCTGAGGATTGTGATTTGAAGCCAGCCTGGACAGGAAAGTCCATGAGCCTCTAATCTTCAATTAAACACCAAAAAGTCAGAAATGGAGCTGTGATTCAAAGTGATAGAGTGCTTGCTAAGAGACAGCACCTAGGCCCTGAGTTCAAGTCCCAGGACTGGCACATATACAAAAAGTTTCCAGGGGCTGGGAAGGTGGCTCAGTGGTAGAGCGCTTACCTTGCATGCATGAGGCCCTGGGTTCGATTCCTCAGCACCACATAAGAAAAAAGAAAAAAAAAAGCCGGAAGTGGTGCTGTAGCTCAAGTGGTAGAGCGCTAGCCTTGAGCTGAAGAGCTGAGGGACAGCGCCCAGGCCCAGAGTTCAGGCCCCACAACCGGACCCAAAAAAAAAAAAAAAAAGTTTCCACACTCCCCACTTATCTCTATAAGTAATCCAAGATCCTCAAACAGGAACTTTTCTTCTATTATTTTCTATCATTTCCTAATTTTTCCTATATTGGTATGATTTATTTACTGACTACTGGATTGTTTATCTTGGATCTGATTTTTAAGTTCTAAAATCTGTTTCCCCTCTTCCTAGCAATAGTACAGCGTCTACTAATTGTACTTATGCTCATTGTCTTGTTCAACTCCTCCACTCTTCTACCTTAAAATACTTCCCAATTTTTTTTTTGGGTGGGGTCCAGTTGTGGTGCCTGAACTCTGGGCCTGGGCACTGTCCCTCAGCTCTTCAGCTCAAGGTTAGCGCTCTACCACTTGAGCCACAGCGTCACTTCTGGCTTTTTTCTTTTTGCTTATGTGATGCTGAGGAATCGAACCCAGAGCCTCATGCATGCAAGGCAAACACTCTACCACTGAGCCATCTTCCCAGCCCTACTTCCCAATTTTTTAAGGCTCCATTCAGGTCCTCTATCTAACTCTTGATATTTACAAGTAACTTTTTGGTTTTTGGTTTTTTGCAGGTCCTGGGGCTTGAACTTGGCTTGTGTGCTGTCCCTGAGCCTCTTTGTGTTCAAGGCTAGCGCTCCACCACTTGAGCCACAGCACCATTTCCAGCTTCTGAGTAGTTTATTGGAGATAAGAGTTTCACGGACTTTCCTGCCCAGGCTGGGCTTGAACTGGGATCCTCAGATCTCAGTCTCCTGAGTAGTTAGGATTACAGGCATGAGCTACCAAGCACTCAGCTACAAATAATTTTTTTCAGGTGGCACAATGTTCAAACCAAGGGCCTTGCTCTATCACTACACAAGGCTTCTATAACATTCTGCTTTGTATTTTCCTTCTTCTAAACCCTGCTATTAACTCATCTCTTCCAGAACAGCTTCCATTAACTTACTCAGCTCTGTCTACTCTACTCCCCCCTGCCTCTCCCTCCTCTGGAGAGTTTTACCTGACTTCATTTATGATTACAGATAATGGTTATGTGTTTATAGGATGGTCTTATCTCCTTGAATAGATTAAAAGTTTCCCTGAGGGTAAACTTTCCCAGTCTATTTTCTGAGTACTACAGGTGCTAGACTTGGCAGAAAACGACCTTCAAGGCTGCTGATTAATTTTCCTTCACTATTTAAGACCATAAATACTTTGCCAACTCTTACCTAGTACTTACTACACAGCAAAGTCTTGGTTTCTCTGTACTTTCTTCTTCTTTTTTTTCTTTTCTTTTTTTTTTTTTTCTTTTTGCCAGTCATGGCAAAACTCAGGACCTGGGCACTGTCCCTGAGCTTCTTTTTGCTCAAGGCTAGCACTTTAGCCACAGCTCCACTTCTGGCTTTTTCTGTTTATGTGATACTGAGGAATGGAACCCCAGGGCTTCATGCATATAGGTAAGCCCTCTACCACTAAGCCACATTCCCAGCCTGTAAACTGCTTTCTTTCAGACCAAAATCCAGTGCAAGAAAAAATTTTCTGGGCTGGGAAGGTGGCTCAGTGGTAGAGCATTTGCCTTACATGCATGAGGCCCAGGGTTCGATTCTTCAGCACCACATAAGCAAAAGAGAAAGTGGCTCTGTGGCTCAAGTGGTAGAGCGCTAGCCTTGAGCTAAAGAGCTGAGGGACAGCGTCCAGGCCCAGAGTTCAGGCCCCACGACCGGACCAAAAAAAAAAATTTTTTTTTTCTATGTTACTATAGGTTCTTTTATCCTAGTGCTAGAGTATCCCTAGCAAATTAACTGGAAATATTACTACTGAGCCACCTTCCCAGCCCAGACTGGAAATATTACTTAAGGAAGTAAAGTTTAGGTTGGAAGAAAATATTGTAAAAAAATTAGATATTTTCTACAATGCTTGATAAGAAATGTACTCATTATCTTGCCCATGTAATTGTAACTCCTCTGTACAGTATTTTCACAATAAAAAATAAATAAAAATTTAAAAAAAGAAAAAAATTAGATATTTTTCCTTTTAGTTATTGTTGTTGTTGGTTTGGGAGTTTAAACTCTGGACCTGGGCTCTGTCTCTCAGCTCTTCAGCTCAAGGGTAGCACTCTACACTTGAGCCACAATGCTACTTCTGGGGTCTTTTTGGTAGTTTATTGGAGAGTTTCACAGTCTCTCCTACATGGGCTGGCTTTGAACCTAGATTCTCAGATCTCAGCCTCCTAAGTAGTTAGGATTATAGGAGTAAGCCACCATCACCCTGCCCTGAGCAACTTTTCCTTAAGACTAGCACTCTCCCATTTTGAGCTACAATACCTATTCCAGCTTTTTCTATGATTAATTGGAGATAAGAGTCAAGGATTTTCCTGCCCAGGCTGTCTTTGAACTGTGATCCTCAGATCTCAGCCTCCTGAGTTGCTAGGCATAAGCCACTGGCACCTGGTTTTATTTTTCCATATTTTAATGTTACGTAGTTCTATCACCCTTTCTGTTCATCCTATCTGTGTCCTGCCCGATGTTCTATGACTATAGCTCCCTGGAGCTTCCACCCTGTTGCTTACTAGCTAAGGAAAGGGGTAAGAAGCTTTCGTTGAAATGTTCCCAAAGGAGCAGAAAGAACATTCCGCTGCCTCCAAAAATAGAACCCTAAGTTTGAAAAAGCTTTTTCTCCAGCATACTCCATGGGCTCTCACCAAGCCTAAGACGTCTAAATAGTGGCCTTAAGTAGGTTCCAAAATGCTTCCATATAATGTGAAATGTAGGAAAAGAAATCCTTTTAATTTAGAACACAACACAATGAGCTGCAAGAGTGTAGAGGTTTTAGGGGTGCTAGGTGGGTAGACTAGATTTACTTATTTATTTACAGGATCTACAACTAAAAAGTTAGGCAAGGGCTGGGAAGGTGGCTCAGTGGTAGAGCGCTTGCCTTGCATACCTGAGGCCCTGGGTTCGATTCCTCAGCACCACATAAGAAAAAAGCCGGAAGTGGCACTGTGGCTCAAGTGGTAGAGTGCTAGCCTTGAGCTGAAGAGCTGAGGGACAGCGCCCAGGCCCAGAGTTCAGGCCCCACAACTGGACCCCCCCCCAAAAAAAAAAAAAGTTAGGCAAGCCAGCCTTGAGTTTGTGATTCTCCTGCCTCAGCCTTCCAAGTAGGATTAAAGGATGTGTCACCGGAATCCTAGTTGCCTGTGTAGTAATGCAGGCCTATAATCCCAGTAATTGGGAAGCAAAGAGAGAAGGCTAATAAGGGCTACATGTCGAGTTCCAGCCCAGCCAATGTCCCATAGCAAGACCCTTTCCCAAAGAACAAAACAAACCATGGGCTGGGAAGGTGGCTCAGTGGTAGAGCGCTTGCCTTGCATGCATGAGGCCCTGGGTTTGATTCCTCAGCACCACA